TTAATAAAATTCACCACACTAAACTGGCCTTACAGGATATGTTAAAGGAACTTCTGTAGATGGAAATGTTTTAAGTTTAAATATTTTTCATTAATGAAAATAGACCTACAGTAAGGGTAGTAGACCAATTGCTTACAAAGCAAATATGAAGTCCAAAAACCAAAACAAAAGTAATAAAATTAACTATACACAAAATTAGTCAAGGGATACACAAAAAATGCAGATTATGGCATCTAATACATAAGAGTGTGGAGGAGGAAGAAGAATAAGAATAGTGCCTTTAGAATGTGTTCAAAATAGAGCAATGACCAAGTTAAAATAGACTGTATTATATTTAGGAAACTATCTATGAACCTTATGGTAACCACAAACTAAAGCCTATAGTAGATACACAAAAGAAATTGAAAAAATAAAGGAATTGAAGCACCATGCTAAAGAAAACCATCCAATAACAAGAGAAGAGTATAAGAGAGGAAGACAGGAACAGAGGAACTCTCAAAACAACCAGAAAACAATTAATAAAGTGGCAATAGTACATACCTATAAATAACTACATTAAATGTAAATGGTCTAAAGGCACAAATCAAAAGACACAGTGTGGCAGAATGGATAAAGAAACAAGACCCATCTTTATGTTGCCTAGAAAAGACTTATTTCAGACCCAGAGACCATAGACTGAAAGTGAAAGGATGCAAAAAGATATTTTATGCAAATAAAAGGGAGAAAGAAGCAGGAATAGCAGTACTTACATCAGGACAAAATAGACTTCAAAGAAATTAACAAGAGACAAAGAAAGACATTCCACAGTAAAAAAAGGATCAGTCCAAGAGGATGCAAAAGTTGTAAATATCTATAGACCCAAAACAGGAGCACCCAAATTTATAAACAAATACTAATAGACCAAAATGGAGAAATATATTGCCATATAATCATAGGGGGATTTTAACACCCCACTTACATCAATGGATAGATCATCCAGACAGAAAATAAATAAGGAAATGGAGGCATTGAATGACACCTTTGAGCAAAAGGACTTAACAGGTATATACAGAACATTCCACCCAAAAGCAGCAGGATACAAATATTAGGGTACAAAAAGATTGAAACCGTATAATTCATCATTTCAGACCACAATAGTGTGAAACTAGAAATCAATTACATGAAGAAAACAGAAGCCATAAAACACATGGAACCTAAACAACATGCTTCTAAATAATCAATGGATTAGTGAACAAAGAGGAACTTAAACAATACATGAAGACAAGTGAAAACAAACACAGCAGTTCATATTTTGAATACATAGCAAAACAGGCCTACCTGAGGAAACAATAATATTCCTAGATAAACAATCTAATTCTACAACTAAAGGAATTAGAAAAAGAACAAATGGAGTCAAAAGTTAGTAGAAGTAGGAACATAATAAATAAAGATCAGAGCAGAAATATATGAAATAGAGAATAAGAAACAGTAGAAAAAATGTCATTGAAACCAAGAGCTGGTTCCTGGAAGAAAGAAATAAAATTGACAAACCCCTAGCCAGACTTATCCAGAAAAAAAGAGAGGGGGCACAAATAAACAAAAGCATAAATGAAAAAGAAGTTACAACTGACCACAGACATTCAAAGAATTGTTATAGAATTATATGAAAAGTTATATGCCAATAAATTGGACAACCTAGGAGAAATGGGGAAATTCTTAGCAAAGAACAATCTTCTAAGACTGACCTGGGAAGAAACAGAAAATCTGAGCAGACAGATTAACAGCAATGAAACTGGACTAGTAATAAAAAAAACCTCCCAACAAACAAAATTCTAGGAGTAGATGGCTTCACAGTTGAATTCTACAAAACATTTACAAAAGAGTTAATATGCATCCTTCTTAAAGTATTCCAAAAAATAAAAGAGGGAATACTTCCAATTTCAGTTTATGAGATTGGCATCTAAACCCAAAAACGGACAAAGAAAATACAAAAAAGGAAAATTATAGACCAATATCACTCATGAAAATAGATGTAAAAATCCTCAACATAATATCAGCAAACCAAATTTAAAAATACATCAGAAGGATCCTTTGTCATGACCAAGTGATTTATTCCAGGGATAGCATTCGTAAATCAATATGATATACCACTTTAACAAAGGAAAGAATAAAAATCATATGATCATCTCAACAGATGCTGAAAAATCATTTGAAAAAATTCAATATTTCCTCATGATAAGAACTCTTGATGAAATGGGTATAGAGGGAACATATCTCAACATAATTAAGGCCATATATGATAAAACCACAGGCAACAACATACTCAATGGTGAAAAAAAATGAAAGCTTTTTCTCTAAGATCAGGAAGACAAGATGCCCACTTCCACCAATTTTATTCGACATGGTACTGGAAGTTCTAGCCATGGCCATCAGACAAGGTAAAGAGATAAAAGGCATCCGCATTGGTAAGGAAGAAGTTAAACTGTCACTATGTGCAGACAACATTATCCTATATATAGAAAACCCTAAAGACTCCACCCAAAAAGTGCCAGAACTAATAACTGGTTTTAGCAAAGTCACAGGATACAAAATCAATACATAGAAATCTGTTGCATTCTTATACATTAACAGCAGACTAGCAGAAAGAGAAATCAGGAAAACAATTCTATTTATAATTGCATCAAAGAGAATAAATTATCTTGGAATAAACCTAACCAGGGAGGTGAAAGACCTATACTGCACTCTGGAAATAATAGGACAGTAATAAAAAAAACTAAAGAAGACATAAATAAATGGAAATCTATTCCATGCTCATGGATAGGAAGAATTAATATTATCAAAACATCCATCCTGCTCAAAGCAATCTAAAGATCCAATGCAATCCTATTAAAATACTAATGACATTTTTCAATGAACTAGAGCAAATAAGCCTAAAATTCATATGGAACCACAAAAGACCCTGAATAGCCTAAGCAATCTTGAGAAAGAACAAAGCTGGGGTGTTATGCTCTATGACTTCAAGCTATGCTATGGTCAATTAATATATAATAAAGGAGCCATGAATATACAATGTGGAAAAGACAGTTTCTTCCATAAATGATGCTGGTAAAACTGGACAGCTACATGCAAGAGAATGAAACTGGATGACTCCTTAACACTATACACAAAAGTGAAATCAAAATGGATTAAAGACCTAAATATAAAACATGAAACCATAAAACTATTAGAGGAAAACATAGGCAAAAATCTCTTGAACATAAGCATGAGCAATTTTTTTCCTGGACCTATCTCCTCGGGCAAGGGAAACAAGACCAAAAATGACCAAGTGGGACTACATCAAACCAAAAGTATGGCAAAGGACACTAACAACAAAACAAAAGGCAACTGACAGTATGGAAGAATATATTCATAAATGATATATCTGATAAGGGATTAACATCCAAAATATACAAAGAACTCATATGACTCAACCCCAGAAAAACAAATAACCCAATTAAAAAATGGGCAGATTTTCTAAAGAAGAAATACCGATGACCAACAGGCACATGAAAAGATGTTCCACATTGCTAATCATCAGGGAATACAAACCCAAACCACAATGAGATATTATCCCACAGATTTCAGAATGGCTACTGTCCAAAATACAAGAAATAACAAGTTTTGGCAAGGATGTGGAAGAAAGGGAACCTTCCTGCACTGTTGGTTGCAATGTAAATTTGTGCAGTCACTGTGGAAAGCAGTATGGAGGTTCCACAGAAAACTAAAAATAAAAATTACACATGACCCAGTAATTCCACTTCTAGGAATTTACTTGAAGAAAACAAAAGTCTCTGATTTGAAAAGATATATGGACCCCTATGTTTATTGCTGCATTATTTACAATAGCTAAGATATGGAAGCAACCAAAGTATCTGTCATTAAATGTATGTATAAAGAAGAGGTGATATGTATACATAATGGAATATTACTTAGTAATAAAAAAGAATGAAATCTTGCCATTTGTGACAACATGGATGGGCTTAGAGGGTATTATTCTAAGTGAAATAAGGCAGGTGGAGAAAGGTAAATACCATATGATTTCATTTATTTGTGGAATCTAAAAACAAACAAAACAAAATGAACCAAATAGCAATAGACTCATAGACACTGAAAAGTGAGTGATGGTTACCATGGGGGAGGGACTGGGCTTGGGTGGGTGAAATAGGTGAAGGGGATAAAGAGGCACGGTCTCAATCACAATATAATTAGTCATGGGGATAGAAGTAGAGCATAAAAAGAAAGTCAGTAGTTTTGTAACATCTTTCTATGTTGACAGACAGTAACTCTACTAGTTGGGGGTAAACATTTAATAATAAACATAACTGTTAAATCACTTATATTGTATACTTGAATCCAATATAATATTGTATTTCAACGATACTTCACTAAAAAAATTTAGAAAGTAACCTGCATTTTCATCATTATTCATTCAATTCAATATGGCCACAAAAGCAGTGCTGCACATTACAGTCATCTCTAAGAGGGTTTCACTTATCTCCTTACTGCAGAATCATAAAATCTTTATTAAATATTTTGTTTCCTGTAAGTCCTTCCTCAGCTTCATCCGCCAGGGAGAGGAGGTGATGATAGACTGGAATTCTGTGGTTACATAGGAACTCACTAAGGCAGGGAGAGGAAAGAACATTCTGTCAGGGGAACACAAAATGAGCTTCAGTTTCTGAGGCCTAAGAGATCATGTCAAGTTTAAAGAAGGCAAAATAACTCAGGATCGTTATGCCTTGCTAAGATTTTGGTGAGTGGCATGTACAGAGGTCATTTTAGAAAAATCCCCCTGATGGAAGAGTGGAAAATATTTGGGTGGTGGAGACACTAAAAGCAGTTAGAAACTTGGGGCAATAGAAAGGAAAGAAAGGAATCCAAGAGGGAAAAGGTGAGTGGAAATAAATGGAAGGTTAAAGTCCTAGATATCTCTATATGGTGGAAGGGCAGGCACTGTAGGAATAACACGAGACAACAGAAAGTTAGAGGTTTGTTAGAGTGTAATTTATTAGGGTACCTCATGCAAAACCCAAAAGGACTTCCTGGGTGGTGGAATGTTGAAGATGTGGATCTGGAGGTGAGGAACCAAAGTGTCATGGCCGCTTAGAGATGGTGATGATACGGCAGCTTGCCTCCAGTTTCATGACCAGATTGTTTAGGAGTAAAAGGATGCTTGGAAGTGAGGTCATCACCTAGAATGGAAGAGACGATGGCATACAGAGGCACTCAAAGTAAATGAATAAGTGACTGGGTCTCATATACCTCCCCTTGACATAAGTTGTTCTGGTGTCAGAACAAACTTCAAGTCACAGGCAGTACCTGGCATAGTTTAATATAGGAGGGGAGGATCTCTGATCCAAGGGAGGGCTTCCTTACCCCAGTAAAGTCATTCCTACCCCCAGGGGTTTGGCATGAACAAGTCCTTGTTATGTGTGCTTGTAAAGCACATTGTTTACCTCATCTACATAGCACATATCATAGGCTGAAACGTTTTGTGACTTGTTTTGCCTATTTGCTCCCTATTCTTTCATGGTAGGGACTCAAAGGACCTGAAAAAGCAAAATTATCTGTGAAACCTAGAGCTAGCTGTTGGTGAATTACTCAGTCCTGCTGTAATTATAAAGGCACTTGCACATCTCTGCTATATGAAACAGAATAGGATAACTTAGGGTTTTAGTTAAGGGTGGGCAGGGTTTGGATGAATGAGTGGGGAATTCAGTACAGGGACAGAAATAGCCTAGGCCTGGTAAGGGTAGGGAGAGAGAGAAGCTACCAGGGCAGAGAGTCATATGGAGAGGCTGCCTTGGGAGAAGCTGGGGCCTGGGGAGTTCTGCTCTTTGGTGGAGACCGCCCTGCAGGAAGGAAGCCAGTGGAGTAAGTACCTGTGCTTCCCTGCCCCTCACTCTCTGATCTGTTGCCATGCCCCATTTGCCAAGCCCCCTAGTAGCTGGAGGGTAGGGAACCCTTTGATGTGTCCATCACTTCACCTCCAAAGCAGAGAAGGAGACTGAGTTTGGAGGTGCTGTTAGGTTCTTTCAGCATACTGCCTTTCTCACAGGCCTGTTCAGGCAAGTGACACTCTCTCAACTTGCCTGGAAGATTTAGTCATCTCCAAAAGGGCATGCTAAACTATGTCTAGGGGTAGAGAAGGAAGTGGATCTGTTTGTTTGTTTATATACTCAAACCTTTTTCTACAATAGCTAAGAACCCAAACCACAGGCAATAATGGGTAATGCATAGATGAACACATCTCAGTCAAGTCCAAGGGGACATGTAAGGTCTTCTAGAGGGAGTCAATCAAGAAGGCAACGTAGGAGGCCCCTGAACTCCCATCCTCCCATGGCCACACTGAATAGACAGCTATCCATGAGCAATTACCTCTGAAAGAAATCTAGAAACTAGCTGAATGTCTCCTAGCATCAGTCTAATGAGAAAATATCCACATTGAAAATAAGAAAGGCCGACACACACTCTTGGCCATAAGCTACATCACCAGGATGGCATACTACAACCAGGAAGGTATTCACAACATCCATCATCTCCCTGATTAATAATGGGTTTGGACTCCACATCTAGTGCTCCAACTTTCAAGACTTCTACCTGAGGGGTGAGTCACCCAAACATTTAGCGCTAAAGCCTATGGGCTGCACCCACAAGATCCACAAGACTACAGCAAAGAAAGAAGCAGTTGTTAATGGGCATGTGGGCACTCACTGCTGCTATCCCCCAAGGCTGAGCACAGGGAAAGCAGGCAAAAAATACCAATTTTCTAGTCTTTTCCCTGGTAGAGGTACATCTGCATACTTTGAAGGCTGCTGTCTGAGGGTCAGGTTTCTAATTTGCTGCCTGAAATCCTCCCTGAGGACACTACCCTGCATCCTTCCTCTTGCCTATTCTAGTTTTCAGTATCTCCCTGGAAAGAGCTTATACACATATCTGTACCCCAGCTTTTGAGCTGCCACCTGATGGACAGGCCCCTGAGTACCACAAGACTGTGGTAAACAAAGAAAAAGTTCTTAATCAGCTATCTCTCCAAGGCTCAATGCAGAGGAACCAGACAAAACCCATCTCTTAGTCTTTCCCTGAAAGGGGTCTATCTGTGGACTTTGAAAACTGCTGCCTGAGAGGCAGGCTTTGAAAGCAGCACACCTCTAGGTGGTGCAGCAGTTCTCTCTAGAGGCTGGGGCAACGGGTGGACAGCTCCTCTGCCTTCTTCTACTAGCCTGCTCCAAGTTGCCAATAATTCCCTGGAAGGAGCTTTTACACACATCTGGCACCTCAGATTTTGCAGCTTCTACCTGAGGTGTGGTCCCCAGGACACCTGACTCTGATAGCCAGTGGAGTTTATATTCACAACTCTTATAGGGCCGTGGCAACAAAGAAGCATTTCTTAATGGGTAAAAAATCCCTTCTCTCATTGGCTATAAGCTCAGGTCCTGCACAAAGATAGCAGACAGAAACACTCATTTTCCAGTTTCTCCTTGAAAGAGGCCTAACCACATACTTTTCCAGCTGCTTCCTGCAGGTCCAGCTTCCAATCAACCTGCATCTAGGTGCTGATGGGATTGTCCTTTTTGAGGGATCTTGTTGTACCTCTAACTCTTGGGAGCCGCTAAGAACAAAGAAAGTGGCTAGGATAATCACAAAGATTTGAGAGACAACCAGGAGCTCATGCAGGACTGACTGATGGGTCTATCTGCATGGGACCACTCTGTCCACACTATAATAGGTGGCTGTTTTATCTAATATGCTGAAACCAATATAGAGAGTTAAGGAAAATGAAGAAACAGAGGGATGTGTTCCAAACAAAAGAACAAGATAAATCTCCAGAAACAGGTCTTACAGAAACAGAGATAAGTGATTTACTCATAGGGAGTTCAAAATGACAGTCATAAATATTCTCATTGAGGTTAGGAAATAAATACAGGAACAAAATGAGGATTTCAACAAGGAGATTGAATATGGTAAAAAGCGCAAAATAGAAATCACAGAGCTGAGGAATATGGTACTTGAGCTGAAAAATTCAATAGAGGGGTTCAGTGGCAGACTAGATCAAGTGGAAGAAAGGGTAAATAAACTTGAAGACAAGGCAGTGGAATTCATCCAATCAGAGGAGCAAAAGGAAAGAAGAACAAAAGAGTAAAGATAGCTTCAGGGACTTGTATGATACCAAGAAGCAGAAAAATATATGCATTATAGGGAGGAGGAGGAGAGAAAGAAAGGACCAGAAAATTTACTTAAAGAGATAATGGCTAAAAACTTCCCTAATCTCTGCAAAGAAAAAGACATCCACATCTAGGAAGCCCAGACTTCCAAATAAAATGAATCAAAAAGATTTATACCGAGACATATTATAATTAAATTATCAAAAGTTAAAGACAAGGAGAGAATCTTAGAAGCAGCAAAAAAGATGCAACTTGTTATACACAAGGGAACCCCTATACGACTATTATCAGAATTTTCAGCAGAAACTCAGCAGGCCAGAAGGGCTTGATATGATACAGTCAAATTGCTGAAAGAGAAAAAAAGTGCCAACCCAGAATACTCTACCTGACAAACTTGTCCTTCAGAAATGAAGAAAGGTAAGGTGTTTTCCCTATAAACAAAAGTTGAAGAAGTTCATCACTGCTAGACAGGTCTTATAAGAAATGTCAGATGGAGTTCTTCAAGCTGAAATGACAGAATACTAATTAGTAATAGGAAAACATGAAAATATGAAGCTTATTTGTAAAAGTAAATACACAGTTAAATTCAGAGTACTTTAAGGCTGTAATAGTGATGGAAGCAGAAAAGAAAAAGGTACTTCCATGGCTATTATGTTTCAGTAAAGTTTTTAATGGCATAGGAAAATAAATGTGATCCATTGTGCAAAAAAGCTCCAAATTTCTAGTCAATAATTTGCATGAAAAAAGAAAAGAGAACAGGTACTTGCACTTTCTACAATAAACAGGTATTACTTTAAAATCATAAACAGTATTATGAAGTCTGAGAAAGGATGGCTCTGGATAAGACTTCTTTCTAAGCCACTTTTTGTTAGCATTCCAGTAAGAATGAGAGAAAGGAATTGTCACCTGGGGCTCTTTGAAAGTGACAAAACTCCAGACAATCTGGGCCATGGCTACAGGTGTGCTCCTGTTGGGTTGTAAGGTAGAGCTGGGGAGGAGAATGGAGACATGGCCATGGGGCATATGTCTGCGTTAGCCAGCGCTCCTCTGAGGGTGAGGGGAGTACTGTATGGCTCCCCAAGCGCTGCTTCCTGCCCCTCAGAAGCACCCTATGTCAGTCAGGTGTGAGTATGTTTTTATATCTTACACAAAGGGACTGAACAGGCTGGTAGTTCCCCTGGAAGGAGCATCTCTCTGAAGAGAGGACAGGCGGGTGAGGGAGCCTTAGAGCGGGCTGCTCAAATGGAGAAAGGCCAGAACACAGAAGAAATGTTGGGAGTTGTTTCTAAAAGGCAGGGTCCACCCAGGTCACCGATTTCCCAGAGTCCAGAAGCAAGGCTGACTTGATCTGGTTAGAGCTGGGGCAGCCCCCTGTACTGGACTTTGCACAAGCTTATCAGGCGTTTACTTACTAACTCATTAACTAACAAACCTATCCACCCCTAGGAAGAGGAAGTTTTCACATTTTATACCATTGGGCTTTTATTCCTACCTTTCCTCTGGTTTGAGTCAAAGATGTGTGTAAGTTTTTCCTTCACAATAACAACTGGCTTTCTTCTTTTCTTCTGTGCAAAGATTTTGTGACCACAGCTTGACCTGGACTGAAAAGACATCAGTTGGAATGAAATTTGACTGTGGTCAGGAGGGACGTATTGTTTTAGCTTAGAGAAAGAAGTGAAATGTTCTCTTATAACTTGGTGGGAGTGTTTTCTGTGCCCAGGAAGGACTGACACCATAATTCCCTTCCCTCAGCGACGGGGCATGAAGGAACTCTTACCTGCATTCTGGGGCTGGAGACCCCTTCACCCCGGTTTGAAGTCAGATTTCTTTCCCTGTGACAGAAGATGGAGGAAGTTACTGGGCTTTTAAGTCATCTACTTCAGGTCATACTGTGGTTATATTTTTAGGTCCAAGAGGTTTGCTCATCATTTTTAGGTATAAGAGTTCATTCCAAATTTGGAAGATAAATGAAAATCCCTCCTGCATCTGGGAGTATTACTTATTCACATAGCACAGACAGGCCTCACCCAGTTTCCTGTGCTCTTGCCAGCTTGACTCATATTCCCCAGTAATGCCTGATTATTCCATCAGGGCTGGAACACAGGGAAATTGTGTGACCATAAAAGCATCATATTGTTCTTTCTTTCAGTTATCTCTGGACTTAAAGTCTAGATCTCTTTATTTTTTCTGGTACATTGATAAGAGGTGCTTCAAAGAGAGCCTCTTTTTGGTAGCTCCCTAATGTCATTCATTTGAAAAGAAAGTGGTTTTAAGGGTGACGTTAGCCATGCTATTCCTAAAGCTGGATTCCGAGACTGCTTTGTCTTTCTTCTGTATTCAGGTACATGAGTAACCCCGCAGAGTAGGGCTCTAAATCAACAGGGCACTTTTTCTGGACAAGCACGGGGGCACCAATGTAACCCATCTTGAAGCAGTAACAGAGCATACCTGTTCAGGGCTTCAAGAGTTTGGTTAAAACTACCTCAAACCAACAAGTCAACCAAACTAGCTTCATTTCTTAAGACAAAATCCCAGAGTGCTGATTTACTCAACTGGTTGTGTTTCCTGGGAATGTGATTCATTCATGCCCAGTGTAGGGAGAAAGAACAACATTTGAAGGCACGCTTTAACAAGAGGTGGACAAAACGCTGTTGTTTCTGGCTATCCTATCTTCTACAGTATGACATGAATGTTTCCAGGGGTCCTCTCTGGGGTAGGATTTGGAGATGATGGTTTTGAACTGCAGATAGGGGTGTGAGGACAGCTTGCTTCTGCCAGGCCTGAGGCTCCAGCGAGGGATTTTCTGCTCATTGAAGACAGGCAAGGAGGTCCTCTTTGGTGCTGGGGACATATGTTCCCTAACTAAGGATTCACAGCTAAAGCCACATTTCTGTGCCTCACTCCAAGGCTGGCCATGAGGGCTCAGGGAAGCCGGGAAGGGCAGCCATTAACCATCAGAAGCCAGGGGTCCCATTATTATAGCAACCAGCAAGGTCAGAGGAGCGGCCAACGACATGGCTGCTTTCACTGTGACTCGAATGGACATGGCTAGCAACTTGGCCTGAAAAAACATAAGGCTCCAGGAGTGTGGGCAGAAACACATCACAGGTTTTCAGCTCCATTTTGCATCACTGAGATCTAAGAGGCTACAAGTTGTCAACTCACAATACAAAGGGGATGCAAAGAGATTTGATTTCTTTATTCGACTGTGAGTGATTTTCCCTTCCACCCTGCCCCCATCCATTAGTTGGTGGGAAAAACTTACCCAAGTGTCAATTCAGTTTACGTTCATCGGACACACGTTTCTAGTGCTGAGCATTCTCTCAGCGGGCTCGCTATCTTCTGGCTTCTTGCCTTCAAGCTGGTATTATTTGATGGGTTTGGGTCATATATTATTAATTGCTTCATGGGAAAAAAAATCCATAAATGTAAAGTGCCAGCCAGTTATATGATTCCTGATCCACCTCAGAATGTGCTTTTCTCCCCAGGACTTCAGCTGGTGTTGCAGTTTACAGGATTCTGGTCTACATCCAATCTGTTCGACATTACATTGTGTTGTTTTTCACTTAACATTCTTCTGAATATATAGTAAAAGTCCTTGTATTTATTTTAATGGCCACATGCATTTCTATTGTAATGGGTACATGGGTCTTCAGAGATTAGTGCATTATACTCTTTAGAATTCCAATTTAAAGAAGGCCCCAACTTTTACTGAACCTCAATTCTGTCTGCAAACTCAGAGCTGGGGTTGTATTTGGACTTAGAACTATTTGGATTTGATCTCTTCCTAGGAAGAGTTAGAAAAACACCAAAGTAGAGGGATTTTTTCCCCCCAGGAAGTTTCTTCATATTTTCAAGTACTTTGTGGAGGCTGCACGGTGCTGCACAGGGTGCACAGGGTGCTGCACGGTGGGGGCCTCATCCTGCTCCTCGCATCTCCGTCAGCTTCCACAATTGGGCTGAAAAAATTTACAATGCTACGTGCAGCACCTTCAGGCAAGTCCTCCATCAGTACCTATGCCTAAGACTCTCCTGGGTAGATGTTCTCAAGCTTTACATCAAGGATTATTAGTTAGACAAATTCTCTGCCCAGGCAGGATTTCAGTCTGTATATCCTGAGATGGATGAATGTTGCAGGCAGACATACCCGGTCAGGTATGTATCAGATATTCAGACTGAACAGTAGGACTAGGGTATGTGGCTTAATTTATACCCCACAGAGATGATGCTTTTTAGGGGGAAGCTTCGGTGAAGGCTGCAGAGCCACCATCCTGCTCAGCCCTTGTCTTGGGTAGCCCCCCCTGCGCCCCTTCTCCACCTGGCTGAATGTAAACCATTTCTCAAGGTTCTGTTCGAACCCCATGCCTTCCTGGACCCCCAGCTCCCTCTGGGATCCCGCCCTCCTCTGGACCCCAGAGGACTGGCTCATCCTACTGAAAAGTCTACTAACCAATTAAAAGAAGGTGCCATCCCAGGGAAGAAAAATTGTAATTTTTTTGAGGTTTCCACAGTGATTTACTGTTCATAATTTTTATGACTTTTTCATGAAGATGATTCACATATTTAAAATAACCTCAAATAATTAAAAAGCATAATCACTTTAAATAACTGACATTTTACTGGCAAAGTTATGAACACTTACATCACAGGAATTCTTTCTTCTTACTTTTTAAAAAATAACACCGATGAGCTACTGGAAGCCATTCCACTTCTCTGTGAGGCCGAGGAGAAGGGGCCTTCTCAGGGCAGGGGAATGAATCAGAGGAGCTTCCCTCCCGCAGCACAGGCTTTGCGGACAGTGGGCTTCTCTCCTGGGGCTCCTTCGTGCAGTTCCAGAGCTGGGGCTTGTCTCAGGGCGGCGTGGGGCCCGCATCGTTCTGACTGCCTCCTCTGGGCGGCTCTGGTCCTAGCGCACATCGCTTCTTTCCTCTGATTCCTGTCCTGCACTGGGGACTCTAGCTGTGCGTGGCCTGGCTTCCAAACGTCTGCTTGTTCATCTGCCGATTCTGAGTGATGCTGACTGACCTTTTTGGGGACTTGATGTCCGTGTCTCAGAGAACTTTATCTGTGGCTGTTGTAGCCTGATAGCAAATAATAAACATCTATTGAATTCACGAAGTGTTCAGCATCCCCAAGTACTATTGATAACAGTGAGAAAGTGCTTTTCAGTGCCACAGCAGGCCTCCCAAGATGTTCATTGCCTTATCCTCCAGGGAGTTCTTTTGAGGAGGTATTAATAATAATAATAATAATAGTAACAACAACAATGACAAAAGTAACTGTTTATTTAATACTCTGTGCCATCAACTTTATAGAATAAAACTCATGATGCACTAGGCTCCTCTTTGTAGGGAAATGAAAGCTAGGAGAGGGGAAATGATAATTAAGAGGCAGCCAGGCGTCTCCCGGAGGGTGGACTCCTCACCGCCACTGCAGGCAGTGCTCAGTCCGAAAGGAGGGCAGGGTGGGACTGCTTGGAGGTGTTCATTTTCCCTAAGGTCTCAATCAAGTGCCCAGCTAGGATGTAACTGCTTTGACAGCAAGGACTGAAGCTTCTTCCTCTTTGCCTCCTCAAATACCGAACTTGGTCTCTTGAAAAGGGTCAGTGCATACGTATGGGTGATTGGAGTATTGGTTTCTAAGTGGTCAGTCCTGGGTGTTGGTCCATCAGACAGAAACAGAAAGACACCACAGGGTGGAAGGCTGCATGTCTAAGTGTCTGAGTCTGTTCAGTGCAATACTGGTTGTGTTCACCCCACAGCAGCTGTGAATACATTTCTTGTGAGTGGCCACGACTTCTAGTTTTTAAGCACTTCCGAGGATCCTCCTGGTTGCTGAAGACCATTCTGAACTCCTGCTTGAACAGCGTTCAGGCATCCCTGTGTTTGCACCTGCTGCACACACAGCTTTTTGTGTCTGTTCTTCCCCCTTCGTGCTGTCAGATCCTTCTTCCTCTTTCTTCTGTTTCTTAAGAATGTAGCTGAGCAAAAGGTGCAGTTAGTAAGCTCTTTGCCTGAGGCTTCTTGGTTTTCATTTGCCCTTTGAAAATTCTGTTCTTTGAAGGTAGTCATAAACAGTGGGTGCTGAGTATATTTGGCATTAGTTTTATATTTGCGAATAAAACTGGTAGAAGATCACAGCTTACCTGAATAAACTCTTCTTAGCCTAACACCATAATAAGGTTAAAAAAAATTATAAAAAAGTTCAAGCAGGAATAAAAGTTTAATCTTGAGGAAATGTCACAGTTTTATTTTGCCCCAGAGTTGTAGCTCATAAAGATGGTCATCTTTGGTTTAAAGGTCAGTTTTGAGAGTATACACAATTTTCCTAGAATTGTTTATATTTATTCAAGACCTCATTCTGAGCACGAGTGAGTGCTAAGCTCCAATCAAATTTGAATACATCCTTGAAGACTCTGAGTCTGATCTGAGAATTTTTGCTCTAATTTAAGTTGTCAAATTCAAGATATTACAAAACAAGAGAACTGGAATTGATAAAAATTAGTAAGTAACTCTGGGTTTTACTACTGCTTTACCATTTACTTATTAGTGACTTGAAGCTAATATCATCATTATTAATGTGGAAAAGTGTAAAATGTAAAGGTTAACATTCCAAGAAATCCCTGTGTATATTCTGTAGCCTGATTAAAAATACTACATGTTGGCACTAAAATTATGGGCCTCAGTTTTACCACCCACAGTGTTTGGGGGAAGTAATTAATGAAGGATAAAGAAAAGCTATTAAGAGTCACGAGTTGTTTGTACTATCCTGTGGTCCTCCGGGAAAAGCGACTCTGTGGAAACATAAAGTCATGGTTCTTGTAGGAGGAAAGAAAATATGATGTGAGCATGAAATAAACACTTAGCTAGGTGGAGAGTCAAGGATGTGGGTTGTGGGAATGGCTAGTTACTTGTCTCACTTGATTAGACTTTTGGAAA